TATATGTCTTTTAAAAGAAAATTACTCCGTATAATGAATAAGTTTTTAAATAAATGCATTATATACATCTAATTCAAAATTAATTAAATGCTTATTTATTATTTTTTGTTGTAGCTACTAATTTATTTAATTTAATAAGAGTAATAAAGTTCCGTACATACTTTTCATCCACAATACTGAAATCATTGATTTTTTAAATTTTTATTTGTTGTTGAGACAAATTGTTTTGAGAGTTTGTCAATGATAATAAATAATTCAAAATATATAGTTACAATAGATATTGTTATAATGATATAGTACAAATTAACTTACAAATTTTGTTAGAAGTTTTCATACATTGATAAAATTTTGATGTGTAAACTTTTTCAATTGGAGCTAGTGGGTGGTCAACATTATCAATTCTTTGGAAAATGGTCCTACCGTTTTAGAGTTTATGTGTAATTATATTTATGATCAACAACTTTGTAGTTAGGTCGCGCAGGTTTGACAATGATGTAAGAATAATTTTGTTCGATAAAAAATAATAATATAATATTTATAAAGTAATGTACAATTGTATCATTATAAAAATACATACAAAAAATATTAATACCATAATAACCTGAATCATTCAAATAATGCAAAAGCATAACAAAAATATTAAATTTTGTTCTAAATAATTAAAAGAAGATTAATAAAATGAAAAACAAGTTAACCTAAAGTTGTTTTTAAAAAAAAAAAATTTAAGAAAATCAAATCAAATGATTTTCAAAATTCCTAATTTATAATCTTTGATGCTCAACTTTGAATGCTATGTATTTAGTCGGGCTAATTATTTGACTAAATTTTATGTTAAATTTGATTTTATATATATATATATATATATATATATATATATATATATATATATATATATATATATATATATATATATATATATATATATATATATATATATATTAATACATTTTAACATATTTGTAGTATATGTTTAATAATTATGCCAACTCTAACAGGGATGATGTTCGAACCTAAGACCTTTATTATAAAAATTAAGAATAATAAATAGTTAACAGAATATTTCGTTACTAAAGTTTATACTAACGGAATTTAGGGTTATTTAAGGGAAGAAAATAATATAATAAGGGGTAAATAAGGAAAATCATTAAAAAATATTAAAATTAAAATAATATGAACTATTCATTTTAAGAAACAATACTACCAATATTTTTTTTGTTCCAGTTAAGAACTTAATATTATTGGCTCTTATTAGATTTTTAGATTTAGATTTATTTTACAAGATAGACTTGCAATCGTTATGCTGTGCATCTGTATGCACCATGCAAGGTGCATACGAATGTAAGAACGACGTCGTTTTGATGTCTAACTTTAAAAAAAAATAAAAATAAAAATTAGAATTGCATAACTAAATATTCATAATTTCATCACATCCATAACTTCATAACTATACATCCAGAATTGCATAACTACACATCCATAATTTCATAACTATAAATCCAAAATTGCATTACTAAACATCCATAACTTTATAACTATACATCCAGAGTTGCATAACTACACATCTATAAATCCTGAATTGCATAACTACACATCCATAACTTCATAACTACACATCCAGAATTGCATAACTATATATCCAGAATTGCATAACTATACATCCAAAATTTCATACCTAAAAATTCAGAATGAATGAACTAAAAAATGAATAGCATAATATTGTTGTTGGGAATCGAAACTGATTTTTTTTAAGTAGAACGTGCATTTTGATGCAAAACAACGTCGTTTTTGCATCTGTATGCATTATACACAGCATAATTTCTATGATATAACAATTGGTATACAATGTATTGGAATTTTATCCTTGCGTAGTGGACTAAGCCCATTGGAATTGGCTTGCTCATAATAGCTAGAGTAAAGAAAGGCAAATTATGCTCTGGATCGGTGTCCACAATGCATTGTGGACACGAATCTAAACGACGTCGTTTTCAAGGAAAATGCGTTATTCTAGTTAAAAAAAAAAATTGATTTTGTCTCGCCGTTAATGGCGTTATTCATTTGTGGGATTATGAATGTACAGTTATGACGTTATGAATGTACAGTTATGTAATTATGAATGTCCAGTTATGAAATTATAGAATTATGAACACAGAGCTCTGACATTATGAACTTACAATTATGAACATATAGTGATAAAATTATGAATATAGAGCTCTAAAATAGTGAACATAGAGCTTCGAAAATTATGAATGTACAGTTATAGACTTATGAATGTACAGTTATGGGATTATGAATTTACAATTATGGAATTATGAATGTACAGTTATTGAATTATGAACACAGAGCTCTGACATTATGAACATATAGTGATAAAATTATGAACATAGAGCTCTAAAATTGTGAACATAGAGTTTCGAAAATTATGAATGTATAGACGTACAGTTATAGAGTTATGAATGTACAGTTATGGAATTATGAATGTACAGTTATTGAATTATGAACACAGAGCTCTGACATTATGAACTTACAATTATGAACATATAGTGATAAAATTATGAACATAGAGCTCTAAAATTGTGAACTTAGAGTTTCGAAAATTATGAATTTACAGTTATTGAATTATGAATGTACAGTTACGGAATTATGAATGTACAGTTATGGAATTATGAATGTATAGTTATGAAATTATGAACACAGAACTCTGACATTATAAACTTACAATTACAAACATATAGCGATAAAATTATGAACATATGCTCCTATAACGAAACGGTCTGAAATTTAAAAAAAAAAAAAAAAAAAAAAAAAAAAAAAAAAAAAAAAGTGGAAGATAACGGTGCCACTAACGACACCGTTACCGTGTCCAAACTGTAGGCTGGACATGAGTCTATAGCATAACGATTGGTAAAGAAAGGGCAAGGTTGTGAACTACTCAATCGTTATGCTGTAGAACCGTGTTCACCTTACAAGGTGGACACGGTTCAATATTCATAATTATTGAATTATATGTTCATAATTATAAAACTATATATTCATAATTTTTAAAGTTCATATTCATAATTATTGAACTCTATATTCACAATTACAGAACTTTATGCTCATAATTACTGAAATATATGTTCATAATTATAAAGCTATATATTCATAATTTTTAGCTTCATATTCACAATTATTGAATCTCTATATTCATAATTGCAGAACTATATGTTCATAATTATATTTACAACTCTATGTTCATAACTATAGAACTATATGTTTATAATTTTTTAACTATATATTTATAATTATAAACAATTTTGGAATGGTAAGGTGGACACAGTTTCACAGCATAATTTGTCCGAAGTACTCATCACAAGTAGCATGTTGTTAGAACATGACAGTGTCGTGTAACAATGGAAAAAGATGTTATGATAGTTATAAACTCTAACCATTTCATATTTGTCTTTTCAAAAATATATATACTGTATACGCATCTTCAAGTATAAAAGGTCACTTTTAACACTTTTGTAAAAGACTTTAGGCCATTTTTTCAGGAACAACTCTCTTAAATTCTCTACTTTTTTCCACTCTACAATACTAGAAAGTTGAAGAAAATGTTATTTTTAGCCACTTTATATACAAAAGCTTATTTTTGAAAGCTTATCAAAAAAGTAAAAAAAAAAAAAAAAAAAAAAAAAAAAAAAAAAAAAATACAAAAGCTTATCATTTAATGAAGGAGAAAATGCCTAATGTTATTTGAATATTATTTCATTCATACATATGCTTACCTCGAGTCGTTATATCATAGACCGTGGTCTATGTGCACCGCCCGCCGTTATAATTAACGGAGTCCGCTTGTTTGGTGTATTAAACACCAACTGACACTAGAGTATTTTTAAACGGACACTGCAGTTATATCAAAATGATATTGTAGTTATAGTGAAATGAAACTGCAGTATATATAAAATGAAACTGAATAACATTTCACATATTTGAGTGTATATTGTACAATGAAGTTGTAATTATATCAAAATGATCATGTAGTTGTGTTTTAATGAAATTATAGTGTATATAAAATAAAATTAAATAACATTTTCACATATTTGAGTCTGTAAATATCAAATGAAACTATAGTTATATCGAAATGAAACTGTAGTTGTGTTGAACTGAAACTGCAGTGTATACAAAATGACACTGAATAACAAGGTTACTTTTTGTAAAAGGGTGCGAAACGGCGGAAAACAAACATCGTTTCTTTTCATTTAAAAAAAGGACGTGCGGTGCATGATTTATCATGCACCGTGGTGCATGATATAATTTGCCGCTTACCTCATGGCAAATTATTTTGTGGACCCGGGCCCATCTTGCAAGGTAGATCTGGGTCCAAAAATACACAATTTATATAATGAATGTTCACAATTTACATACTGAATATTCACAATTTTTATATACTAAATATTAATAATTTACATATTGAATGTTCGCAATTTACATATTGAATGAGTGAATGTTCACAATTTAGATACTGAATATTCACTTAAATACTAAATGTTCACAATTTACATATTGAATATCCACAATTTAAATTGTGAACATTCAATATATAAATTATGAATATTCAGTATATAAATTGTGTATTTTTACTTGAGTCCACCTTGCAAAATGGACGCATTACATAACTATTGTTACCTCATTATTTGGCCAAAACTATGATTATCCATGCAAAACCCATTTCTCAAGTAAGATTAATCTAGATATATATTAGGTTGGAAAAATAAATCTCAACACAATGCATAACTGATATTTATATACAAGTTTGTATTAGGTATCAACCCTATTATTTATAAATACTAGTATTTTCACTCGTACGTTGCACGAAATGAATTTGTTACAATATTTTAAGAATATTTGGATCGATATATAATTATATAAATTATAACAATGAATATTATAATTTAGACAAAGTAGCGAAAGCCACCAATAGACAATAAAGGAGTCGGACCCTAAATATCTGTATATATTAGATCAAGAGCACTAGAACTGGATGACTCAACATGTGACAATGGAATCGAGCAGATTTGTCCAATTGACACGCATTTACACAAACTGGAATTAAAACGAATAGAATTGCTAGACCCACTAACCGAACATACCTGAAAAATACGAAGTAAAACACGATGTTGTGGATATCCTAAGCGATCATGCCACACTGATGCAGACGTACGAGGAGAAAGAAATGTGGAGGGAGACGAACTGGCGATTGGAAGCCTGTATAGACCCCCTGAGCTATTGCCTTGTAGAAGTATTATTTCCCTCGTATTGGTATCATTCACAACAAAAAAAAAATGGATGAAACTCAAAGAACACTTTATTATCAAGAGCAAACTTTTGAACTGATAATAAAGATGTAGACAAACTACGAACATGAAGGATATTAGATAATTGAACAGACCTAGATGGGGTATTAAAGGAAGCATGACCAACACGACTAATAGAGAGTGCCTTACCATCACCAACACGCAAAATATCATTGCATGTGTATTCCTCATATGTAGATAGGGCTGCAATATCTGGAGTCACATGATTAGTTGCCCCAGGGTCTGGAATCCATACCTGGGAACCATTCTGATCTGGACTATTATTCTGATATGTCAAATTTGCTTGTGGAGGAGGATCATAACGATTGTAACATGCCAAGGCCGAGTGACCAGTACAACCACAAATTTGACATTGGGTTTGACCGTCGTTACCACCTTGACCAACGCGGCCACGTTGACCACCGTTGCGGCCACCAGATGATCGGCCACCACCACGATTGCTGCCGTTGCCCTGACCGTCGCGGTTACCACCGCGATTGCCTCCGCGGTTTCGCTCTCCTTGTTGGATGGTGAAAGCAACAGGCGAGCCACCACTATCGGCTCCTCTGATGAATTCTTGAGCGCCTAGAAAGTCGGCCAGCTCTGTAAGTGTAACGGGCTGGCCGCGAACTGAAAGCAATGCGGTCAGGTTTTGATATTCTGGTCGTAAACCCCGAAACACATAAAGATTCATCTCATCCAATCCAACAGGCTGACCGGCCAGGGATAGGTCCTCCATAATAACACGGGCACGACAATATATAGTCGGCAACTGTGGAATCTCCCTAACTAAGAGATTAAAGTTAGCCAAGGAGATTTAGTGACCGGGCACGAGATGCGGAAGCCAAAGACTGTTCTATTGACTCCCAAATTTCCTGCAATGTACGACGTCCAATAGCAAGGTGCATGACTTCCTCAGAGAGAGAAGAAATCAACATAGACATAAGAGGCTGGTCATGACGAAACCACACCGTGTAGGCGGGGTTGGACGTCGGTGGAGCGCCGTCGGCGGCGACGGGGAGGAATGGGGCCGGACACGGTTGGCTCCCATCGACAAACTACATGAGGTTGTGACCGTCCAGGAACGGGACGACTTGAGTCCTCCAAAATAGATAATTTTTGTGGGTGAGCTTAGTGCTAATAAAGTGATGAGTAGTAGAAAGCGAATTAACAGCCATGCTAGCGGAAGACGTGATAGCAATATCAAAAACGGTTCGTTTGGAGGAGTTAATGGATCCATCGGCCATGGGAATAAAGAGAAACCCTAGCTTAACTGATATCATATGAGAAGCGTATAAACTGTATATATTGAATGAACTTCGATTACAAATGTATAGACATGGGGAATATATACAAGATGAATCATAGGAAGATTAGGATATGGAGTAATAGTATGACTCAAATATAAAGAGTTTTAATATTAGTTCTAATATACATGAATAGTGTTACACCAAATATGGTGTAATACTACTCATTTATACCATTTTCGTGCAAAAAATTTTAGAATCTTTTTGTCAATTGTTTTCTTTTAAAAATTTATATTATTAAAAATAAATTAAACATTTTAAAGATTTCATTGAGACGTTTAAACCGAGATCAATATTGACTATAAAATAATTAAAAATTAAAATACATAGAAACATTAATTTCATTATAAAATATTATTATTTATATCAAAATAATATTTTATATTAAAATAAATAAAGTAAACAAAATTAAAGTTTTAAATTATAAGAATAGAAATTATTTTAGTGTATGAATTGAATTTGGTGTAAATAGATTAGAGTCAAAATAAAATTTGGTGTAAATGAGTTGGAGATTAATTAAAAAAAATTAGTGTAAGAAGATGCTGGGAATATTCATTTTGATTTAAAATTTGATAGAATTTGATGTTTTGGGTTGGAGATGATCTCGCATTATGGCATTATATATGCCTATGGTGGAATTTTTAAACATCCACCTTTTACTTGTTGTGAATATTCACTTTAATATTAATAATATATATTTGTTGGGTAATATGGTTGAAAAATCCCAAAATAATAATCCTATGGAAAGATTATTAGTCTATGGGAAAATAGAAAAATCTGGGAAGGAAAAGATGAAGTGTTTGGGTATAGGTTTAGCACGAGTTTGAACATAATGTTCTTTTCCTTAAAACCTTACTCCGTATTTGCTACCTCCCACAAGTGCTAGGAGCGTTGTAGCCTAGGTTTCCCAATATAAAACGTGCTACGATTCCTTGTTTAAGCACCTAAACAAGGAACCCGTCGAACAAAGCAAAGCTTAGAACACAAGTTGGCTAAAGAAGAGAGTAGAAGCAGAGTTTTGAGAGAATAAAGCTACTGGAATTCCTTTGTTTCTACACTGTGTAAAATGCTTCTGCTCTACCTCTCTTTATATAGGGATGTTGGAATGATAGCATTCAACATGGCCATTAAATTGGTATTAGAACCAATTGTGTAACACCTGTAACAGCCACCCACTAAGTAGGATTCAACTCAGTTTTAAAATTGGAATTAAAACAGTATTAATTCCATAACAGATGAGTTTAATATGTACAACTGGCTGACCGTTGGGGTGCAGATTCACACGAGAGCACTTGAAAATGATACTGAAGTTTGGCAATTCACCCATTATCCGTTTTGAGCGTACAATATATCAATTTCTTCGTCTTACTACGAAGAATCCGAATCAACTTTGACCCGACCCAAATCGGAAGTGGACCCCACTAATAATTGTACCACAAAATAGCCACTTAACATGCCATTTTAAGCTAATTTTCCAACAATATTTTAAATAATAAATCAATTGTAATTACTTGTTATATATCATTTATAATATTTTAAAAATTATATAGTATTTTTACCTTCAATTAAATAAGTATGATCAAATAAAAATGGAAATTCACGGACCGAATGTAAATTATCACCCTATCTATCAACAACTGGCATGATGGTGAGGGAAGTGTTTGTCAATAAAATGTGTAAATTTGATGAGGGATATACAAGATTAGGTGGTGTGAAGTAAAGTGTGAGAGCATTTCACATGTCTGCAACAATATATACTAGGATTAGACTTAGGAAGCCATTGGTGCATGGCACAAAGTTCGTTACTATAGTTTTTATGTGGTTGTAGGCAAAGCCTGCGTCAATAGCCAATAGGGAAGGCAATAAAGAAATTAATAATGTAAGTTGGTTGATTAGATTTAGGGCTGGCTACAAAAAATAAATAAATAAATAAATTATATATATGGTTTGCATTGGAGAGAAAACTACGACCAGAAACCCTTTAAAAATATCCACTTGACTTCAATTATATTCAGTTCCTACCAAATTCTAGAACCTACATGAACGCCACAAAAGTCTTCAATGAAATATATATCTGGATTTTTCTAATTTAAGTTAGATAGATTAGTATTCATGTTGCACACCGAATTGGGTGGAAAAGGTACTCATGTCTTTTACGTAGATTCCGAATTGACATGCGTTTGATTGGAAATTTGGAATGAAAGAGTTAAGGAGGAAAAAAAAAAAAAAACAGAATTTATAATACTGTGGGATCAAATTACATTGTCACGTGAATAAAATTTTTGAGAATTAAAAAGAAAACATTAAAATACCATTGATAATAATAAAAAAAAAATTTCCTTATAATTTCTTCCAACCAAATAATATAATTGCGCTCAGCAAAGAATTAGGCTATACAACTATAACCTACCATACAGGTCCTAAGTGGTTAATAGTCCGCAAGGTACTCATATTCTTAAGGGGGTGTATTCAATCATGACTTTTATAAACTTTTAAAGATTTTTCTGAACTTTAAAAGTTTGGAGGTATTCAATTCAAACTTTTAAAGATTCTTTAAAAGTCGGGCGAGATTCAATCAGGATTTTTAAAAATTCTTTAAAAGTCGGATGGTATTCAATTAAAACTTTTAACGATTCTTTAAAAGTCATGTGGTATTCAAAAAGTTATGAATTTGTGTAGACTTTTTAATTGTAGGACTTTTGTAGACTTTTCCTTCTCAAATATAAATAGTTTGAAATCCGACCTTCAACCCCAAGATTTCAAAATTTTCTTTCTACCAACTGTGAAGTATTTCTCTCTCTGTTTAAATACACCCCCTTAAAACTCTATTTTTATAGACTTTTAAAATGACTAAACTAAATTTAAGTGATTAATAATGAGTTAATACCCAATATAGTCATTGACTATAGTGAGTTTACTCAATTTAGTTCTAAAAGGCTTTTTGTGCTCAAGTTAGTCCTCGACTTTAATTTAATGGTTTTACATAATTTAATCATTTGTTAAAAATTTTATCAGTTGACTGTTAGAAATACAGTCCTAAGAGCATCCACAATAGTTGATCTCCATTGCGGTTTTTGAGGGGTTTTTGTAAGTGTGATTAGGAAAGAGAATGTGGGGGGAGGGGGAGAGAAAAAAGAAATATATATATATATATATATATATATATATATATATATATATATATATATAGTAGAGTTCCAGTGAGAACATGTGCTTAGGTGAGAACGTGAGAACACATCATGTGCATCCATCTAATATTTTGTAATGGTCTAGATTAGATTAAGTGTGTGCGAATGCGCATTAAATGTGTGCAAACGCGATTTAGTGTGTTTGCACACATTTAATGCGCGTTCGCACACACTTAATCTAATATAGACCATTAAAAAATATTAGATGGATGCACATGATGTGTTCTCACGTTCTCACCTACACACATGTTCTCATATGATCCTAACTCTATATATATATATATATATATATATATATATATATATATATATATATATATATATATATATATATATATATATTGTCTTGTTAGCATTCACTTTCCGCAAATATTCATGCACCTGGGTGTGCTTATAACTATATGTGCAACTATTTATAACTATAGGTGCAACTACTTATAACTATAGGTGCACCTACTTTCACTTATAAGTGCATGTAATTTTGCCTTATTAACATTCATTGATCTGAGTTCAGCGGATAGTAATACCCCTGAAAACCACTCGCAAACATTTATACACCTATGTGCAACTACTTATAACTATGTGTGGAACTACTTAAAACTATAGGTGCAACTACTTAGAACTATAGATGCAACTAAGTATTGATGCTCAGTGTTAATTATTTTTACTTGCACCTATAATACATTTTACATGCACTTGTAATACATTTTACTTGCACTTCGATGTTCAATTATTTACGAAAATGCCACCGCGCTTTTTAAAAAAATCAGTGTTTCTCATCCATTAGATCTGGACACGTGGACGGACAGAATCCATTCCTATTTCGCGTCTGGGCGAGGCATTCGCACCTGAGTGCGATTATATATATATATATATATATATATATATATATATATATATATATATATATATATATATATATATATATAGCCGGGCGCGTATAGTCTTTGTTTTGGCGCACAACATTCAATGTTTTTTCTCAGCTTTGCCTTCCATGCTACTGGATTGAGCACAAAAAATCAAACCACTATAGTCAAGGACTATATTGGATATTAACTCGATTAATAGTACTCAATATAAAAAGGCACATATAGGGGTGTTTGGTAAATGTTTGGATTAATGGATTAACTGATGTAGAAAAATGTTTGGTAAATTAGTTGTTAACTTATTACATACAAAATGACTTTTTAAAAAAGTTTTCAAAAAACTACTTTGAGCAGTTTTTAAAATTTTAACATTTTAAAACAATAAGTTGTTACAAAAAAACTAATTAATAAAACATTCATATTCATTGTTTAACAAAGTCAAACAGTTAATTATAGTCAAATAAGTTAAAATTTATTGATAGGTTAACTAGTTTACCGAAAAAGGGCCCTAAACTATTTTCTTGTATGAAGAGACCACTTGACAAGTAGACAATAGGTTGGCATAACTTATGCTAACTTTTCAGAGGACATTCGTGCTCGTGCCCCAAGTCAAGCATCCTTGTGCCCACAAACCAATGTGGGACAAATGCTACTTTAAAGCCTTTTTCCTTCATTTTCAAGTCAAATCATACAATTCAATGAGTTTTAGAAAGACTCTTGTATAAATAGTGGTGCAAACCCACTTCCCAAACCAATGTGGGACAAAGATTACTTTAAAGCATTCCCCTTCATTTTTCCTACTCAAATAGGTCTATTTGAGAATGTTTTGAACATATATATTAGTGTGAACTTTTTTTTCCAACAGATATTAATGTGAACTTTAATCAAAGAAGGATTTAAGACAATTATTTATTTACTCGGTATTTATTTATTTAGAGTTAAATAGATTTGGGTATGAAGAAGAAGAAGGAATCATCCCAAATGGGATGAAGGATGGGAAATTATCATTAGGACCATATCTCTAATCGGAATTAACAGAATTTTTAACAAAATGACTAAATGATTAAATCGTGTAAAACCACCAAAGTTGAGGACTAGATTGAGCACAAAAAATCATTTAGGACTAAATTGAGTAAAATCACTATAGTCCAGGACTATATTGGGTATTAACTCGATTAATAGTACTCACTATGAGGACTAAATTGAGCACAAGGCTCTGATTGAGTTAATGAGTTAGCTGATTGTTTTTAAAAAATGATTGAAACATTCATATTCATTGTCTGAGTGATACAATTAATTGTGATCAAATAAGTTAAAATTAACTAATAGGCTAACTATTTACCAAACAAGCCTGGACTATTCTCTTGTATGAACGACCACTTGATCAATAAGAATTAACACAAACAACATAATATATCGATAATAAATCATTAAAATCAAACATTGTAATATTGTATACACTTTGAAGGTGTAAACATCATCAAGATCAAGAACACCTTTAATTTGTGAAATTTTGTTGTATGCTCTCGTATATACAAGGTGCATATAAGACAAATCCCATTTTGTCTCTATATCAAAATCCGGCAAAAAAATGGCCGGCCGGCCGGAATGTTTCTCCGGAACTAATTTGTTTGAAGGAATATATATAGTTACCAGAAGAATCAACCCTCTCTGTCCAATGAGCTCCTCCAGAATCCACCTTCGTGGAACCGGTCCCACATCTCCATTTCGAAGCCGTCTTCGGTGGCCGCACTGCTGCCGTCCCAGTCGCCGTCGTCGTCAAATTCGTCGTAACAGGCCGTGCCGGACGAGCGGCCTTTGTTGCCGCCATCAGCGGCGGAGACCATGGCGGTCCGGGACCCATCTTTCCCCCCAGTTTCCACCATCATCAGCTTCGTCTTCTTCCTCATCAGCCGCTTCTTTTTCTTCTTCCGCCACGCCTTCCGTAAAAGCCCCGCCGGCACCTTGTAAGCCGCCGTGACGAGGAAGTGCAAGGCGGCGCAGGGGCAGCAGCAGCACATCATCGCGCACGCCGCCGTGCCGCCCGCAAAGTCCCCTATCACGGCGCTTCCACGCTTCTCCGTTTCCCCTTCCTCTTCCTCTTCCTCCGCACTCCTCATCCTCTCTGTCAGCAAGGGCTGCCGCCGGGTCGCCCCCGGCGAATCGATCACAACTTGCTCACTCATCCCGTCAACGAGTCTAGCTACCAGATTACCATAACCGCAATTCCCAGATTCAATCCGAGAAATTGAACAAATGATTTTGGTGATTTCAAATGGAAAACCGAAAGGACACGTAATAAAATGAAATTCAATTCAGAAAAAAAAAAAAATTTTGATAGAGACGTAATATAGGGAGACTGCAATTTGGGTCACTCAGTGTACTATTTGTAGACGGAAACTGCCAAACGTATCGACATATCATTCGCATTTTTATTTATTTATTTATTTATTTATTGTGGAACGTGCAATTCACTACTAGGGCCCGTTTGGCTGCTGCCTGCTGTCAATAAGCATTGCCATTCCCCTTAGGTCATCACCAATTTAAATTAAAACTTAAGTTTTTAGTTTTTAAAAATTTAAAACATTAATCTAATATTTTGACTAAAAATTGATGAGGACGAGATTCTTCGTCTCCGTCAAATTTTCCGCGGGAATGTAGATATGGACTATTTTCAATTTTTCATTGAGGACAGAGACGGGGAGTATACTTCCCGCCCCACCCCGTTGTCATCCCTACTCTAAAGATGGGTACTCACTTTCAGTTTTTAATTTTAGTTCAGATGGTTCAACCCGCCCGATTAGCCCGACAACTCGAAGTTTAGGGTTAGGGCGAAACCGAACCCGAGAATAAAATATTAATAAACTGATTAGTCCAAACCGATTAGCCCGACAACCCGACAGGGCTAGCCTGAAACCGAGTGGGCTGGCCAGATTGACATCTCTAATTACTAGTAACCAACAGGTTACTGAAAAAATTATCGACGTTGACCGCCGCTAATCACTGTTCACCACCGTTAAAAAAAAAAAAAAAAAAACAAAAAAACAAAAAACCGGTGACTATTTCCACCAGAGAAGACGACGAAGGCCACTTGTGTTGGTCCCGAAAGGTTAGGGAACGAATCTAGAGGGGGGGTTGAATAGATTCGTTATGTTTTTCAAAACTTTTGAGAATCGTTAAGTCCAAGACTTAACAACTCGTTCAGAGACTATATGCACAGCGAAAAATATTAACACCCTTTTTACGATTCTTTGCACAATTTGATAGGTTTAGCAGTAAAGAATATGAGAAATAAATGAATGCAGTGCGTAAAATAAAAAAAAAAAAAATATATATATATATATATATATATATATATATATATATATATATATATATATATATATATATATATATATATATATATATATATATATATATATATATAGTGGTTCAGCAGTTAACAAGCATAATCCACTCTTCTTCACAACTCGTGAAGGTTTGCACTATCTCCTTAGTACAATTCCACTCCGAAATTGTTTCTTGACATAAAGCTAGACACAATCCCGAAACTTAGGTTTTTCAACTATCCCCAGTCTACTACACCTCAATCTACTCCCAAATTGAGGAAAAATGATATGATAACTCTCTTTTTCCTCCAACTCAAAAGCTTGACGCGAGCTGGATGAAGATGATGTTGCAGCTCAAGCTTCCTTCAAATATGGATAAAGAATATATTATGTGTCTCTTTCTTGGATGGGATACTTGGAGCTTTTTATGAGAGCTAGATGAGTTTTTCACTAGTAGATTTTTAGAACTGATATCTTCTCATCCTTGAGAAGGTAAGCTATTTGTAGGGGTGAATTTTTGTTCCGTTAGAGAGGAAGACAAAATTTCACACACCCTAATATCTAGTGGATAGAGACCTTAGGACAAAGAGTGCATGTGGGTGTCAGTACTATTTAGCCGTTGGCACATGAAGTGTGCTGACAGTTTTGTCACTTATCACTGCACAAAAGAACAAGACATTTAATGATAGTTTGACTTAAGGATTTGTTCTTAGGACTCATTTTGTCCCTAAACAAATATCCCACATACGAGATATTGAACTATTCATGCTCAGAGAAAGTCTCTGGCTAGTTCTCACGATCTATTGATATCGAGATAAACTCGTGTATGTGCACTCATGATTGGTTGACTTTACCAATCGTCCAAACAATCAACGAATGACTTTGTCTTAATCATTCGTCCTTGAGAATCTTCAAAAGGCGGACCGTTCCATGATTTGGTTACTTGCAACCTTTTGGTCTTCAGATTCTTCAAGTCTTCAACTCTTCTTGTCTTGATTCGTCCTCACTTGCTGCTGATGATTCATTACATAGGACGACTCGACTACATTTGAGTACAACGAGTTGAGGTCTACTTAACTCAGGTCTGAGACTTGAATTCTAATCAAACTTAAAATGAATTGGGTGGTCTAAGTTCCTAAGCTTGGTATCATCAAAATCTAGTTACAGAAATGTTCCTAACAACCTGATGTTTTTTTTTTTTTAAATAAAATTTAAGTTCACCGGAATGTCACGGAATCTTAAGTGGCCGGTTATTCCAGATGAATAACCGGCTACTTGGTTTAGACGCCCCAAAATGACAAGTTCTAGTCTTCAATTGCATTTTTTTAAAAGTTCTAGGGCCTAATTGCACTTTTTGAGTAAAGTTTAGGGGTCTATTTGACCATTTTTTTTTATTTTATAACAACAAATCCTCTTGAACTCACATGATTCAAGTAAAATTATTTAGGAAAAAGTATCATATAGGTCACTAAATTTATTGCTTATGTGTAACTGAATCACTGAAGTTAAAAAGCGTGTAATAAACCATCAAACAATCAAAATATGTGCAATTTAAATATTTTTTCAATTTCTCCTAGTAAAATTTGATCATATTGCTAACACGATACGTAAAATTAGAGTTGTCATTTCCTTTGTCATACTAGTTGGGATGAAAGATTAAATGCTTTCAACTCAAATTGTATTAAAATAAATTAGAAAAATGTCTCAATTGCACATGCATATTTTGCTTGTTTTATTGCATATTTTTTAGTTCAGTAAACCAATTGGACAAAAACGATAAATTTAGTGATATATTTGACTTTTTTTTAATTATTTACTCATAAAATTTAAAATTTAAAATTATGTTTAAAAACAACTAAACTCATTTCACTCTCTAAATAGCTTATGCTCAATTGGCACATTTGTAACTCGTCGTTGATAGTACTCAAAAAAAAAAAAAAAAAAAAAAATCATCTCACTCTAAATAAAAGTGTTAAATGGACATTTAATTATGTTTTTGGTATAAAATGTCTATATTTTTAATAAATGTATAAAAAATTATAAGAAATGCATAATTTTTATATGATATATTTAATCATTCTAAAATTCTAAATGCATAAAAATTCATTTAAAAATCACCTTATTCTTTATACTTTTAAGGGAAAATGACACTTTTTCTTCTTATATTCCCTCAATTATTCTAAAAGTGGCAGTTTTCCTCCCTAATATGTTAAATTGACATTTTTACCCTTAAAGTAAATATTTTATTTATTTTTCTTTTCTAACAAATTATTGCGTATACGTAGGGATGGCCATAGTCCGAATCCGGTTCGCGATTTTGAACCGTCTTTATTTTAAAATTTTATTTTTTATTTTTAAATAGTCGAAATGTAACAATAAATGTATTTTATTTTTTTCCGTTCGGAACATGAACGGACCGTTCTGGTTCGCAATTTTAATAAACTCTAAATATCGGGTTTCAATTTTAAATTATAATTGAAAAATTTTAGTTTGATTACTATAATGTTTGTTTGGTTTGAACCAAATTGTGGTCATAATTTATTAGAGAAGAAAAATAAAAATTTATTTTAAGAGTAAATATGTTCATTTAATATTTTTGGAGAAAAAATCGCTACTTGAATAATTTATGGGAAAAGTGTTATAAATATATAACTTTGCGAGAAAAAAAAAAAATACTATGGTTCCTACTTTTAACATTAATTCGATAATGTCACGTAGGGCACTGACATCACTCCACCTAAATACCACTCTATATCTTTTAATTAAGAGTTAATACCCAAAATCGTCCTCGACTATAGTGGTTTTTCTCAATTTCGTCCTAAACAACTTTGGTGACCTAATATCGTCCCAGACTTTTGTGTTTCGCTCAATTTAGTCCCAGACTTTTGTGTTTTTGCTCAATTTAGTCTCTCATTTGTTATTCTGTCCATTTGATGTTAAATAAATAGACAATTCAGTAATTTTAATATTGGCATCTCTTTACTCATAGATATGTGAACTGCGAAATCCTTTTTTTTTTTACGAATTACTCCCAGAATTACTCCTAAAACTGCGAATATAAAATTTGATTTGCAGGTCCGGGAGTAATTCTGGGTGTAATTCGTACAAGAAAGAGGAATTTCGCACTTCACAAGTTGAAAGTAAAGAGAGATCAATATTGACATTATTGAATTGTCCCTTTATTTAACACCAATTTGACGGAATAACAAATGGAGGACTAAATTGAGCGAAACACAAAAGTCTGGGATGATATTAGGTCACCAAAGTCGTTTAGGACGAAATTGAGAAAAACCACTATAGTCGAGGACGATTTTGGGTATTAACTCTTTTAATTAATTATGTTTTGACTATTTTTACACTAATCAAATAATTTTCCTTTTTAAATTAATTCGATAATATCTCTATCTAAATACCATCTATATCTTTTAATTAATTATGTTTTGACTAATTTTACACTAATCAATTAATTTTCCTTTTTAAATTATATTGTGTTCAGATTAACATCAAATTAAAATATATATATATATATATATATATATATATATATATATATATATATATATATATATATATATTTGAAAATTATTAACTCTATTACATTGTAGTATTTATTCATCCATACTTTCTCAACGGGTTGAAGCACAAAGAGTCAACACCGTCTCCACTGAGACTCGATCTCATGACCTTCCATATGGAAGAGTCACTACATATTCTTTAATAATCAATTAATTAATACAATTTAATGCGTTGAAATAATTTGTACAGTAAAAAATATATCATTATTATTATAGGAAAAATGGGAACAGAAAGTATTGGCTAATTAAAGGACATATCTTAATTTACCTTATTCAATAGCT